AGAGCTGCACACCCTGCATCATGGTGCGGATTGCTCGCTGGAGTGTCCTCGATGGCACTCTCGGTCGAGCGTTGCCTCTTGTTGGCGAATACGATGTACATTCAGTTCAAGGGCGCTCTCCCAAGTTAACGATCTACAGAAACTAGATCTCGAAATACGAACTGGGAAAAGTTAAAAAATACGTTTAATTCAAAGATCGCGACTCCGGGCTCAGTGAAATCCACGGAAGGCATAGACATCCCTAAAGATCGAATCAACTAAATAACTGGATGCATTCCCACGCATCCCACACACCCTCAAGTCAAGCTACATAGTGGACAGTGGACAGAGGGCAGTGAGGGGCCCTAACACCATTAATGCAATTGACCAAAGAGGCAATCACCCCATGGCTTTCTGCAATATACTTGGCATGTCTATCCAAAGGCGTACCTCGCGTATTGTCTTTCTCCCAAAGCTAGGAAATTGCAGCCATATGAGCCCCAGGGATTATAGACCGATAGGCCTCACTTTGTTTCTACCTAGCACTAGGAAAGCTGCTGGATCTACACATCCGGAAGGGGAGCATGTCCATCGACCATATATCCATATTGAAATTAACACTCAGGGAGATATGTGAGTGGCCGGAAGAAGTATAGTTCAGTATCAACGCGGATATGACGGACTTCAGCCTCATTAACAAGAGGTAGATAGTAACGACATGAATTCCCCTCGAAAATTTACCTCAAACATATACAAGTCAAATAACTCGGACAGCAAGCTGAAACAATATAGTGGAGAGGGTAAAGAAGACCACCACCGCATCCAAGAAGATGTCGTAACACCAGCTCTAATACACTGGATCCACATCGAAGAGAAGACGTGCAACAAGCTTTTGGAGGAAACTGAGCGACAGGTGCTCTCCGCAGCACATGGCCACTGAGGTCGACGCCAACAAAAGCACTCGAAATCATACTACCAAGGAAGAACTACAGAGTGTCACTGGAATACTCACAGGTCTCTGTCTGACTGACAACAAGGCATCACTAACAGTGCGATGAATCCAGGGCCAAACCCTGAAATATCTTATCTGCAACAGCCTGGCACTCTTGCGGCCAAGGAGAAGATATCTCCAAGAGGACGCCAAGGGAATTGCTTTCCTTTGTTAAAAACACCTCGACTCTCGAGGACCTCGAAACCTCATAAGTACACTCGAGACGGTAGTCTCGATAGGACAGTCAGAGGTAGAAAACGGGTAAAATCTTAAATTGCTCACCAAATATAGGAGCGAGCAGAAACAGCATGGCGAAAACTCAGTTGGGCTCCATGTAAACAGACCAATTTGATTTTAATAAAATTTAATGAAAGTTGATGAAACAAATCAAAAGTAAATTTCAAATAGCCTCCGGATCTGTAGCGCCACAGCCCCAAAAAGCAAAATCAAAGTCGGGGGTGGACTAGGGAGCAGGTAAGTCTGGGACAGAGACAACAAAAGAGTCGGTCGAATCATTGCATACCCTCCACCAAAAAGTTTCGATTGGAAAACCATTCCAATGATGAGAAGTTATCTCCGTGTTCGTTAGCTCGCCAGTAAAAGCCATGCATGTACATATGTATGTATGTATGTATCGATTGCCATTGCGGTACATACTGCACTCGGATGATGAAACTTTGCCAAGTGGTTGTTATTTTTGAAACAAATCTGAATAATTGTGCCCTAGAGGTGCAACCCTTCCTGAGCCACCCCACCCCATTGGCTTGGAGAACTTTCCCACTCATCCCCTGCTCTGGCCGATGAATTGATTTATGTGCTTGTTTGTCAGTTGAACTGCAGCTTGTGCATAAATTTCAAATTGCACTGCGTCTGCCTGCCACATGCGTCACCACGCCAACGTCCACACTCACACCTCCGCCCTCAACTAAACGCAGTCCCAACCACCTAATACAATGTCAAACTTCGTTCAAAGAACTTGGTAGGAAGAAGGATTCGACCTGCTTGGTAGCCTCCTTGCTCGAGTACTGTAAGAAAATGCATGTTTTTTATGGCATTCTGGAAATATACATATATGTTTGACATAAATTTGTTGTATTTTAGCTTAATAAAATGTTAACCCATATATTTTCATATTTATAACATATGAAATACTTCAGCATGTCAGCACGTACAGCTGTGGTCATGGAAATAGTAGAGCCGCACCTCACCACTTTCAGTACTGTTTTTGAGACACTTCCAGTACTCCAAGTTAAACGAGAAGGAGCGTGTGATAAGCTTCTGCGGACGCGACTCTACCCGTACTCATTCAGTATATAAATATGTGAGCTTATGATTTATGTAGAATTTTAATTGCTACATCTCTTATCTACATCTACACTGTCGATAACACATCGAAAATGTAGATTCTTCATACACAATGTAGATTCTGCATCTCCTCCACGAAGGTCGAGCATTGCAGAGGGGAGAGTGTGTGCGAGCGAGAAAGAGAATGAGTAGCGTCAGCAGCGCCGGAGGAGGTGGGGGAAGCAACTGAAAATTATTTTCTTCATTCTGGCTAAAATAATGATCCGATCTGTACCAGTAGAGTTGGAAAAACATCGATGTTTGCGTACTTCGATGTTTTTCGATGTTTTTTAAAAAAATCCTCGATGGTAACGATATATCTTGATTTAAGAAATAAACAAAGTCAAATTATATTATATTATATATTTTTTAGCAAAAAATACAAATTAAGAATATCCGCTAACATAAAAATCCAACAAAAAAAAAAAAAAATATGTTTATATATCAAATGTTAAAAAAAAATATATATATATATATAGATCTTGCCTAAACTTTATATCGGAGATGCATTCGTTTATATTTAGAAAAGAAAAGTGTCGACATGCTTTGCATCTAAAGCGCTGCGTTTCTCACTTAAAATATATCCAGCTTTGCTAAACATGCATTCGCTTTGTGTGGATATTGCTGGAATGCACAGATACTTTTGGCCAAGAATTGAAAAGCTCTGTCGCTAGTATCACACTGAAAATAAAATAATTTTATAATTTACCAAAAATCCAAAACTTTAATTATACCATCTTCCGAAATTCCAAGGCATCTGAGCTTGAGTCTATATTTCTTGTTTCAAAATATTCTCTTAAAGTGAGCGTAGCACTTTTTGTTGGGTTTCGGTTACTTCGTACCTTGTCAGTTTTATTTCTTTTGAGAAACTCAAAAAGCGGTTTGTTGTTTTTCGGTGATGGCGTTGACGGTGCCAAAGAAGGGTGAGTATCTATTCCGTATGTATAAAGCCCGGTGAGTTCGTCCTGTAACAACTTTGAAGCTTCTGTTGCATTCACAGGAAAGCGGAATCCTTCCTTTTTAAAGCGAGGATCAAGCAAGGTTGCTACTTTAGTGACAGCACGGGTTTCATACGGCAGAAGCTTTTTTTTAATCTTTTCTCCAAGAAAATTACACGCTTTCAAAACAAGTGACATTGTCACAGCGCAACCAGACGATGTCTGCACTATAGCATCATCAAACTGAGATACTCTTGTACAAGTGCTTCCATAATTGAAATGTGCTCAGCTGTCAAAGGCAGAGTCGCATCTGGGGTGGCCAGAAGGATCTTTCCAATAGCATCCTTTGTCTTTAAAATGCGGTTAATCATTTGATTCCCACTATTCCACCGTGTAGGCACTTCCTGCTTTAGGCTTTATGGTTTTGGCACATCCTGGGCCTGCTTGAACTTAGAGTATGCTGTGGAGCATAATTGGTTTAATTTCTTCTTGAGCAAAAAAATCGTGAACAACCAAATTCAAAGAGTGTGCGAAGCCAGGAAGATTTGTCTTTTCAATGTTTTTGCAAGCTCAAAGCATATTAGCGGCACTATCTGTAACAATAGCTATCACCTTATCAGACATTTTCCACTCCTCAAAAGTCGAGCGCAAGGAATCGCTTATGTTTAAGGCAGAGTGATTTGTTTGGTCCTCCAATTTTTTTGTCGCAAGAAGCACAGTGCGCAAAACAAAATCAGAGATGACAAAATGGCATGTTACTGATATACATATAACTCTCGTTTGCACGAGAAGTCCTACAGTCAGTAGTTACAGAAAAATTATCTACATCGTTAAGTAGATCCTGCAAATTACATTTCATTGAACTGGGTGCATTTTTTTATGTGCACATTCTGTAGTGTGGTTCGACTTGGTAGCACATAGCATGTATCGAGCTTCGTAGTGAATTTCTTAAAACCTTTATTTTCAACTACAGAACATGGGCGCAAGTCAGAAGAAATTAAGTACACTAGATAATGATCTAGACTGATCCAGACTTTTTTGCGTGCAGATCCAGTTTCAAATTTCTGCTGAAAACATGTTTCGATTGTACCTACAGGTGGTTTTATGTTTTCTATTGTTGCAGTTGGGTGCAGCCTTTTAAATGGACCGACAAATTGGTAGTATTGCCATTGGTTTTGTAGACTTTGCTTCATAAAACACACTGAGCATTTTTACCCGGCAATTTTGTAAAGAACTCCCATACTCTCGACTTTTCTGTCTTCCTTCGTTTCAAATAATTTTCGTCGTCCGAATTGGTTGTCGCTCCGGCGTCTACACAAAACATGTGACAATAAATATCAAACGAAATTCACAATAGTAGATTAATTACCCTCCTTGCTTAAACCTGCTAAAAACTTGTTCATCCCATCACCATCAACACCAACACACAAAACTCGAACAACACTTCTAGAAGAAATAAAGATTAAATAAAATAAATCAGATATTTGCACAATGTTGACCTTTTTACTGCGCAGCAAGATACATATGGTAAAGTAAGTAGTCATGGCTGAAATTCAATTTGTACCACTTTCGAACTATCGGGGAAAAAACCTCGCTAGTCGAATCAGTGATGTCGCCATCGACATTATCGATAGTGGCTCGATGTTTTTGCAGCTCTAGTGCATATTAGAGCCACGCATTTAAACAAATTAACTCTGTACGTGCCTATCGGAGCATCCAAGTAGCCTGATTCTTTAACTTCAATCAGATACAAACACAGACATTAAGAGTGAAACTTCAAATGGCCGCTGCCATGGATCAAAATCCAGAAGGAACCGATTCAATAGGGTGGGCCCGCACAGAGATAAAGTATCACGCAATAGTCCCGATACCGAAGGGCTTGCTGGCTGAAAAACTGGAGAAGAATCTGCAAGCCCATAATGTTCAAATAATTGTTGGGGACAAGATCTTCTTGTGCAATCACTCGGTGCTGGTCGCCTATAGCAGGCACTTTGCAAAAACTCTCGAGGTCGGTGATACCATCAAGCTGACAACTGGAATGACAGCCACCACATTCGGGTTGGTCTACGCTTGGATGATTAACAAGGATCCCCTGTGCCCTAGCGATGAACTGGTCTCCTTGCTGATCTCCGCTTATTTCCTGGAAAGCCGCCGATTATCAAGGAGCATCTTGGAATCTTTCAATGAAGCGCGAAACTTTACGGCGAGAGAAGACTACTACTGCTACCTCGAGGCCGTCGAAACGGGCATCGATGGCCTGGCCAAACTGTGGCTGGCGCGTGCTAGCCAATATTTTCTGGTTCTGGTAGCAGCCCCGGGGTTTCGTCAACTTAGTGCGCATCGTGTATACGAGTTGTTGAGCTCCAACCATTTGGGAGTGCACTCAGAGATCGAGGTATTTCCATTTCCCATTTCCTTATTCCCATTCGTCCTTGGCCTACTAATTGTACCCCCTTTTTCAGGTCTTCTATGCTGCTGTCATTTGGCTCTACGATGACTACACGAGTAGGAGGCAACACATCAAGCATTTGCTCAGCGCGATTCGCTTCAATCTGTTGCCATCCTACCTTGTGCTCCACTGGGCGGACAATGTGGCTGAGCTCAAAGAAGAGATGGCACAGGAGCTGCGTGTGTGCCTAAAAGAGACCATGTTACTCCAAATGGAACATCGCGCGGTGCCCTCTAACGATTGGCCAACACCCCGAGTCTGGATAACAGATCCCATGTGTCCGTACCACAAGGACGCGAAACTCGATGCATACATTTACCTGAGTATGCAGCAATTCATCGGTTATCTAAAATTACTTCAAACTTCGGAATCAACATTTATAAATCGCATTAGGATATTGCCATCCAGGAAGTCGCCTGCAAACGATAATGAGTTCACAGAGCCCTCGCGAAAGTTTGAGCACTACGAATCTTATGACTTTATTAACAAATCGAATAACCCTGCAATTACGCAGACGGGGAAGAAACCCGATCTTCGATGGAAATTTTTTTAGAATTTTAAAATTATTTCACTATAAATTCCCTTGAATGGATTACCTTCCTCACCTGATCAAATCTTTTGTTAGGCCCATTCAGTCATCTCACGATTCTGAATTATTATCAATCCCAACATATGCACGACCTGATCTTGAGAAATATGCAAACTATCCTGTTAAATTATAAGAATAAAATAACATTCACAATCGAATTAAAAAGTATCAAAAATACTCGAGGTGTCATAAACTTAGATTTTCAATCAACAAAAATATATACACGAAGATAAGATAAGGTAAGGTAAGATAGGTAGAATATAGAATGCAATCGCAGTCTCCTTACAAATAAAAATATATCGTATGTGTTTAGGGTGGTAGCAGCTCTGGCGGGGAAACAGTTCTGTTAGCGTTCCAGCCTGTTGCCATGCTCTCGATCTCGCGTCCACGCTCACTCTCCCGGCTCTACGATATAAAAGGGCACCAGGAGCGTAAAGGCATTAAGGCAGCACAGTACAGTCGTTTCTCCAGCAAACATCAGCGCCCCACAATGCTCGCCAACTTTCATTAATCCTTTATTTTGATTAGAGGAAGACGCCATTACCTTACAATTCGTACTGTAGTCGGGTTGATCAACAACTTCGGCTTCAAATGAAGTCATTTGAAAACCGTTTCTGTATTTTTGAGTATTCGCCAGAAAATTTCGTGATTCTGGTGTTTCTGTACCTTCTTCCTTACACCTAAACATTAAAAGTATACTGATAGACAAAAATTTTAACTTACACAAAACTAACCTATTTAATTTTGAAACATTTTTATACCCGTACTCAAAAAGAGTTAAGGGGTATATTAGATTTGTGGTAAAAGTGGATGTGTGTAACGCAAAGAAGGAAACGTTTCCGACCCATAAAGTATATATATTCTTGATCAGCATCAATAGCCGAGCGAGGCCATGTCTGCTGTCCGTCTGTCCGTCTTGTTTGACGCCTGGATCTCAGAGACTATAAGAGCTAGGGCAACCAAATTTGGTTTCCAGACTCATGTGATATTACACTGCTACAAGTGTATTCAAAATTTCGCCCCACCCCCTTCCGCTCCCACAAAAGACGAAAATCTGTGGCAGCCACAATTTTAAAGATACGATAAAACTAAAACTGGTGACAATGCCTATATCTACCAGACTGCCGAATCTGAATCAGATCGGATCATAAATATAGCCAGAATGACGAAATTAATTTTCAGTTGCTTCCCATGCCCCCCCCCAGAAAACGATAACGCAACTCATTTTCCTTCTCGCTCGCACACTCTGCCGCGTTCAGTGCGCGAGCAACCCCTAGCGGAGGAGTGTAACTAAATGAACACGTACAATCTACATGTTAGATGTAGAATAGACATTGTATTTGTAGATGTAGATAGTAGATGTAGCAAAAAATTAAAAAATTTTTTTTTGTCCAAAATTCTACAAAATCATAAGCTGTATATACTGACTGAGTACGGATATAAGTAGAGTCGTGTCCCCAGAAACGACTCACACGTTCCTTCTCGTTTAAAAATTATTTTAGCAATTAAATTCAAAAATAGGCCACCGGGCGCCTACCTCTGAAAAACGCTTACAGTGCAAGTAACTGTCGATTGAACGTGTGCAGTTTCTTTTCAGTACTTTCCAATACACAGGCCACACTACTAGCACTTTCTCATGCAATGGGAATGCCACACATTTATTAGACAGATGTGGCGTCTGCTCCCCTCTGCCAACGGTCCCTTCTCTAGCTGCGGTGGCAGTCAGCCTCAGTGGCAGAAGCAGTGGAATTAGTCGTACAAGGTGGAATTTTCCCACTTTCCCCAGCAGCCAGCAACGCATAAATGTGCCCATACGAAAGCAGATGGAACCCATTTAGGCTGCCTGGTGCTTGTTTGGAGAGTGGTCGGAGACTAGTGGGGGTTGGAGAATACAGTTCCTGTGCTCGTACTTTTGGCCTTGCTTGGCCCCGTGGGGCCAACTTCAATTCAAAGCGAACAAACTAATTTCCAATGCAAATTGAATGGCAGTCAAGTGTGCGAAGTTCGAGATAAATTTGCAGAAAATGCTTTTAAAAACAACCCACTGCCCACTGCGGATATGCGGATACACATGTGGCACAAGAGTGTGTCATGATCTGGAGTGCTTGGCTTTTTGTACGGAAATTAAGCGAAAGCTGCCACAGCCCCGAAGCTGAAAGTGAAGCTGCTTCTGATTCTGGCGTTATTCTTTGCCTAAATATATACATATGATTTACTTTCTATTTTAATTAACAAGTTGTTTGTGCCAAGCATAACGGGCGCCAGCCGCAAAGGGCACGCCTGACACCGGTAAGATCGTCACTTTACTTTGTGACTGCCCTATGTCCAATAATATGAATACATAATAAACGAGAAGGAACGTTGTGAGTCGCTGCTGTGGCCGCGACTCTTAAGAATATATTTACGTTATGGGTTCGGAAACGTTTCCTGCTCTGCGTTACACATATCCACTTTTACCATAAATCTAATACGAATATACCCCTTAACTCTTTGACTTTGGATATAAAAACTAGTGTTTCTGGATATGCCATAAAAGTTGAAAGTCTTAGGGAGTTCACGTTTCAAACAGCACAGATATGTATTTGTAAATGAATAGCCTCAAAATGTTCGCAGTTTAAAAAATTGTATTATTTGTTATGGGTTTTTTCAGTGGTAAGCTTGCTTTTTTCCACATATCTTGGCTACACCTAATTTTAAAGGACTCCCCAATTCTAAAAAGTTTATGAAAAGTCATTATTCGTCACGAAAAACTTTGTAGATCAAGCTTGCCACCTGGGACTCTAATTAAATGTTTTTCGGAAAGCTAAGTGATGTGAGGGTTTTTTTTGGCTGTTGAAAAAGTGCTGAAAGCAGATTATTCATATGCATCAAAGTCGGTGTAGTTGATTGGAGAAAACTAAGTAAAGCAGTGGAAGCTCAATGCAGACACTGCGTTAAATTTCTGTTCGGTGAAATGTTTCTTTTTGATTTAAGCCCAGAACGCTGCTGATATTCTCCAACCGCACAACAGGATGAATTCCAAGTAGTGCGTGTATGGAAGTGACTATATGCGCTTAATTTTTTAATTTTTTCATCATTAATTTCTCTACGTGTTTCAGCTTCTTTTTACTGTACATTCATAAATATGTGTGTATCCATATAGGCAATGCTTATTCACACATACATATGCAAAGAGTAGTAAAACAATTACAGCACTTAAAGCCTAAACTAAGTTATTGAAACTATCCAACAGCGAAGGGAGACAGGAAGAGAGAAAAAACGGTACCAGTGTTACCAGTGGAAGGCGCTACAAGGCACCACGGGCACCGCTTTGTCTCTCTTTCTGTCTTTCTCGCGTTAGCATACCATACTATCGTTCGCCTGGCTCTCTAAAAGTTAATATCAGATCATAAAAAGTGAATTATGTTCTCTCACAGCCCGGCCAGGCGGCACAGCAGCACAGGAACAACAGCTGCAACGAACATTAACAACAACAAAATCTACAGAAGGACAAGAAATTATGAAACAAAATTCATATGCATCAAACTCTCTACCGGACAAGATGAGTTGGTATGAAAAAATTATTTTTACTATTGATTCACACGCTAACCAGTTATCTGGAAAAGTAAAAAAAACATCCAAAAACTCTTAAACTTTTAATATTTCATAAATCGGTATATTTAAGTCACTAAGAAAGAAGTTACCATCCATTGAGGTATTTGGGTATAAGGGAAACATTGAGCCTGAAGTAAGCGATACGTTAAGTATACGCAATTCCGGAAGTAAAATTGGATGGATAAAATGCATTTTGTTAAATTCATAATTCATTTATTCAAATTCATAGAAGTTTTCTTTATTTTGAAGCTTAAAATGCAATTTCTAAATGCTCAGGCTCTGTTCGCAGACTTAGCATGGAAAGCTATTATAATATTACTCAAGCTTATGTATGTATCATACGATACAAAGCAATTTTGTTTGAGGATCTTAGCAATGTTAGACGTCGCACTTAGAACATTTAGGGCGAGGATATCCTGCCTGGCATAGTAGTTTTACATGTAGGAGCTGGAGATGCTTAAATGAGTGCGACATTTGTGACAAATCCCGTCAGTCGAAATTAAGTATAAGTTATGCTGAAGGAACTTGAAGGAATTCTGTTCTTGCTATGAAAAAGTTCATTATCAATATCTAATTGAAAATGTATTAAAGTCATGTGGCGGTTATTTTCCTCGCTGCTAGCCAAGTCTCTTCGACATAGTAGGCAACTATTGCCCACTAAAAGATTTATACACGTAAATACTATGTGTATACTCCTCTTATTGGAATGGTGATCTATTTTGTAAAGTTCCAATAGCATGTCCGACAAATCTACGCCGAAAAAGTGCTTATTGTAACACTCTACACTCCACTTATGTGACTTTTTTTGAAGGTATTGCTTTGACCTGCAAGCAACAAATATTAATATGAAACATACCTTAAAATAAAATCATTTGCTCTCATGGTTTTGATAGTCCTTCAAATTTCGTCATCGAAGTACATACATATGTATGCAGAGTCCTTAGTTTGATTTAAAGAACTATAGCGGTTTATTTAAAGGTATATAGTTTATTCCGTTCGACTTAGTTTTAACAAAAGGGTTGTGCTTCTACGAGATTGCGGCAGCGACTGAAAAGGGCGGTACGTTGCCACCTTTTCCACGTTGCAACTGAGTCCGCACTCCTACGATATTTTAGCGTAGAGCAGAGGATAATGGTGCCCGCTCTGGGACAATACCCTACACCCACATCCACATGTATGTACATATAAAAGTATATACATACATATGTACATGTAAATATAAAAGTATATACATACATATGTACATGTAAATATAAAAGTATAAACATATGTACCATGAAATTGTTATTTATATGTTCCCCATCTCAAATTGTTTTACTGTTTTATCAATGCTCGTAAATCTGCTATGATTATCTTCACCTGCACTCCTCCTCCACTCCGTCAGCAATGCAACTTAAATAATGTCTCCTTTGCCAATAACATTTTGCATTGAGTTTTTTATATAGTTTAATACTCGGGAACAATTTGGCCACAGGCAACGCTGTCTGACGAAATTAGTTTAGACATGTTTCGTTTAAAAATTAGTTTTTCATACCATATTTAATCCACCAAAAATCTGTTTAA